ATCTTGAGATAAGATTAACCTGGAGTATCAGGATAGGCCAATACTCAGATATCATTTTGTTGTTGTTGTGAGGTGCCATCGAGTCGGTACCGACTCATAGCGACCCTATGCACAACAGAACAAACCACTGCCTGGTCCTGGACCAACCTCACAATTGTTGCCACACTTGAGCCCATTGATGCTGCCACTTTGCTAATCCATCTTACTGGAGGTCTTCCTCTTTTTCTCTGACCCTCCACCTTACCAAACATGATCTCCTTCTCTAGCAACTGGTCCCTCCTGACAATATGTCCAGAGTATGAGAGACAAAGTTTGGCCATCCTGGCCATATATCATAAGCCTCCATATAAATGGAAGAGGGAGACAAGCCAATAATCATGTATCACAAGGGTCCTTATAAATGAAAGAGGAGACAAAAGACAGAGAGCCAGTGATACGGATGCGTAAGAAGGATTTGGCCAACAATGCTGACTTTGAAGATGGAGGAAGGAGGCTGTGAACCAAACAGTGCAGGTATCCTGTAGAAGCTGGAATAGGCAAGGATATGGACTCTCCCTAAGAGCCTCCAGGAGGAACACATGTTGTTGTTGTTGTTAAGTGCCACTGAGTCAGTTCCGACTCATAGTGATCCTATGTAGGGTATCTGAGAAACAGCTGGTAGATTTGAACCATCAGCCTTGAGGTTCAAACCAACCTTGTGGTCCAGTGTCACATGAGGACTGGTAGTACCACACCAGGACTCCTATCTTAGCCTAGCAAGACCAGTTTCAGACCTCTAGAACTGTAAGGTAATAAATTTGTGCTATCATAAACAACTAATCCTTTGTCTGGGTCCATGGGTGGTTAAATAGCTAAGCATTGTTCAACTATTTACCAATAGGGTGCTTTGACCCCATGCAGATGTGTCTCAGAAGATAAGCTTGGCAATCTACCTCTGAAAGGTCAGAGCCTGGAGAATCCTCTGGAACAGTCCTACTCTGCACACGTGGGTCTGTCAGGAGTCAGAATCCACAATTTCAACTCACAAGAAAGACCTTTGTCAGATATTTGGTTTGTAAATGTTTACTCCCATTATATATGTACGTATATAGCTTGTCTTGTCAACCTCTTAACAGGGTCTTACACAATTTGCTAAAAATGCTACTTTTTCATCTTTGTAAAAGATGATTTGGGCATATTTGCATGGGTCTGTTATTTCTGGGCTCTCTGTTCTGATCCATGGATCAATGAGTATATTCCCTTCCCCAAGTCCTGGTGTGGTGCTATGGGTTAATGCGCCAGACTACAAAGCAGTTTGAACTGCAAGGTTCAAGCTCACCAGCTGCTTCTTGGAAACCCTATACAGGGTCGCTATGGGTCGGGACTGACTTGATGGCACTTAACTGCCGTGTCCGGCATCGGCTATTCTCCGTGTCCCACATGGAGAGATTAAACCCGAGTAGGGGTCATGGGTATTGCATTAGACAAATCTGCTGCACAAGACATTTTTAAAGTGTTGAAAAGCAAAGATGTCAGCTTGAGGACTAAGGTGCGCCTGACCCAAGCCATGGTATTTTCAAAACCTCATATGGATGTGAAAGCTGGACAGTGAATAAGGAAGACCATAGAAGAATTGATGCTTTTGAGTTATGGTGTTGGACGAGAATATTGAAAGTGCCATGGGCTGCCAAAAGAACCAATAGATCCATTTTGGAAGAAGTGTAGCCAGAGTGCTCCTTGGAGGCCAAGATGGCCAAACTTCGTCTTTCATACTTTGGACATATTGTCAGGAGGGACCAGTCTCTGGAGAAGGGTATCATGTTTGGTAAGGTGGAGGGTCAGAGAAAAAGAGGAAGACCCCCAGTGAGATGGATTGGCCAAGTGGCAGCATCAATGGATTCATGAGTGGCAACAATAGTGAGGTTGGCCTAGCATTGGGCAGTGTTTCGTTCTGTGTACATAAGGTCACTATAGTTGGCACCAACTCAATGACACCTAACAACAACAAGGGGTGATGGGAGATCAGAAGAAAAAGGTAGACACAGACACAAATGAATTAAGTAAAGTTAGGACCAGGTGGGACACAGCACTCTGATGGAGATACTGTGACCCAGACCAAGTGCAGCAAGTTTATTTTAGACACATATCAAAGGGAGGTGCTTGGAGCAGGGAAGAGTGCAAGAACATCTGGTGTTGTCTGTGTATGAAGTAAGCGGGACTTTACCAGAAGAATGTAACTTGTGGTAGCTAGCTGAACTAGTGATTAGAGCAGATAGATGTTTGTGCAGTCTGAGCTGAAGGTCATGTCTGTGTACAAGGAAAGACTTTGCAAGTTCCTTGTTCCCTGAGGCAGGCTTTGCAAGTTCCTCAGGGGGCAGCCTAACTTGGGTGCAGCCTGAGTTTCTGGACCACAACTGTTCAGTTGCAATCCTTTGGTTAAACTACCCACAAGTCAGAGACCCTCAGCTCAGTTGTTTCCAACACTTAACAACAACAACATCACATAGTCCTAAAATTAGGTAGATCAATTCCTCATATTTTATGTTTTTTTCAAAAATGTTTTACCTACCCTAATTCCTTTGCTTTCCCATATAAATTATAGAAGAAATATCATGTCTATATTTACAAAAAGCCTTTTTGGGATTTTGATAGGAATTATGTTAAACCTTTATATCAACTGGGGAGAACTGGCGTCTTTACTGGGTGATATTCCACTCTCTGATCTGTGTCTCTCCATTGATATTTTTAGGTCATCAGTGTTCTCTAGTTTTTGGTATAACTAAACCTGTACATGTTTTGTAAAATCTATACTTAAGTTTTTTTGTTTTTTTTTTAAAGCAATTGTAAATGGTATTGTCCTTACTGGGAAGCATTGGGAGAAGTAGGTGTACTGATTCTTCTCAGAAGTCGGTCTCTATACATATTATTTTATATTATTATTTATAATTTCAATATCTGAAAACCTTGGGGGTCTAAGTTTTTTTTTTTTTTTTCTCCTCTTACTTAGGATGTGCCATATTCCATATTATGTGGAAATTCTGAGGACTTAAATTAGAATTGCTTTTTCCAAACAGAATTTGCATATGCCTCTGCTGGGGGCACTGGGAGCTATCAGTTGGAGAACACTTAGGCCTCTTTAAGAGTCCTGGGTCCATACTGACCCTAGGACATCAAGGTCACTTGCTTACCAAGACTGTCTTGTCTGTTTCTGCTCAGAGTTCATTTTCCTTCTTCCTTTATTTTTTTAGGGGTGTTGGTATACCTCGAAGAGTTTCCTTATTTTGTTGCAAGCCCAGAAATGCTTCACAAAAGCCTATTAGTTGTACTTTAATCCAGAGTCTGGCTGTATTTTGGTAACAGGGTCAAAATCACTCACAGAAATGGAAATACCTTACATATGACATAATTTGGAAAACAACTGGGAAATACAGTATTTTTCGGGATTACCAGATTTTGTCAAAAGATCACACAGAAAGGTTTTATTCCTACCTCTTGGAATTCCTTAATGAAACTTGTCATTTTCAGTAGGAAAAATATATTATTAGAATAACAGGTCTTGGCATCTATTGCAAAAGTGGGCCTTGCTCATGGTATTACCATAACTGGGCTGGGATGGGAGGGACTGATAAATTCAGGCTAGGAGTTAAGAGCTAAGAGAAAACTATGAAATTAGAGGGTATGCTTGAAAATAATGAGGTCGGGCAGATATAAAACATGGTCTAACCTGAATACATTCTATGACTCAGCCTCAATACAGAATTGTATCGAAAATTACGTTTGTCATTTTTTTTCCCCTAGAGAATAAAACCTTTAATTTTATGCTCCTGCAGTTACATAACTCTTATTCCAATAGCCTAATAGAAAGGTGTAGTTCACTACACCCCAGAGAGACCTATGGTGTTTCTTGACAGCTTGTATTGCTTCACTCACAACTCTTCTTTTGACCACTTATTCAGTAAATTCACTTGAAGTCATAATTTCTTGACAAACCAAGGACGAATGTTTTTGGAAACCAAGTTTCCGAAAAACATTTTCTCTTTATAATCTTGACTCTTTTACTTTAGAATCTTGTCCTATAGAGGATCCTACACAAACTTTAGTTTTACTTCTTATGTTTCAGGGTCCGCTCTAAATTCATTATATATATTTACTCATTCAATCCTCACAACATCCCTAAAACAGAGTCAGTTTGGTTATCCTCACTGTCCTGAGGCAGAGTCAAAGAACCTGAAGCCTCTCACAGCTAGAAAGGGCAGACTGACAAGTGAAGCCAGCCTGTCTCACTCTGGTACCTGTCTCCTCCTGCAGTTAAGTGCCGTCAAGTCAGTTCTGACTCATAGTGACCCTGTGTAAGGTTTCTGAGGAGTGGCTGGTAGGTTTGAACTACCAACCTGGCAGTTAGCATTACAGTTCTTATCCTACAGCACCACACCAGGCCTCTCCTCTAGTAGAGACTATAAATGGGCAAGTCTGTTGGAGTCTTTCTAATAACATAATGAAATGCAAGACTTTAGTGGAAAAAACAGGTTCAACTATAAGTACATTTATTCCTCTGAAAACAGTATACCATGTTTCAAGTTCTAGAAATTTTATTATTAACTGTCTCTGCAGTGTACTTGTTCTTATTAAGAGATTTCCAGATGGAGCTGAGCAATTCACCAGTACCACCAGGAAGGAGGTTACACATTTATCCTTTGCATCAAGAATGCCCTTAGAATCAACTCATGAAAGCAGCTTTCAATGTTCATAGAAAAAGCTCCAGGATCCATTTGTCATACAATTCAATGCCTCACTGCCCCCTTCTTTAACTGTTTAACTCCTAAGTCCATTTCTGTGTATAGTTTGAAAACAAGGAATCACCCAAGTAAGAGATCCCTTTAGCACACTGTTGAAAATATATTAAACACACAAATGTCCCAAATCCCTGTTTTCAAAGATTTAAAATGTTTTTACAGTAACACATAGATATCCTTGGATATATTCTTGTAGCACAAATATCCCTGAATATAGTCTGTTATGGTCTAATGATTTGCTTCTCTTTCCCCCCTTTTGATCATATCTTCAATCTCTTTGGACAGTTTTCCTTTGAAGTCATTTGGTTCTATTGCTTTTAACTTCTTTTGATACTCCAATGGCAAAGCATTCTCTTTTGCACCCAGGCAAATAACCTAGAAGTGGTTAAAACAAAGAGAAAACCCTTTTAGTTAAGAGCATAATCCAGCATACCTCAACTCTGTGTGTACTGTCAAAATAGGAAATATTATTCTTCACTTTAGAATAACTCTAGAACAATTATAGAAGAAAATAAGAGATCTAGTCTTTCTTGCACTGAGCATGAAAATTGCAAATTTTTTAAAGCCATGTGATATATTCTTGTGAATGTAAGACAAAATATATCATACAGATACAATGATTGGTTTCTAATCACCTGGAGCAACAGAGGAACTAGGAGACTGAGGAACTGGAGGGGGAGATGGTTTGTAGGTCTAGCTGCTTCTATGAACTTCTACCTCCCTTGTCACGAGACCCGAACTGAATGGAGCACAACGACCATTAGTAAACATTTTGAACAGGGACCCAATCTTGATTTGAAAAGAAGAAAACTGAGGGATAAAATTCCAATCCTTGTTAGAAACCAGACTTGCTGGAGACATTGATACTGGAGGGACTTCTGAATCTAGGGCCTGTCATCAACTTTTAAATTGTAAGTTGGAACTATCTGATGAAGTCATCTTTAAGTTAACAATTTAGCTCAAGAAATAATGAGCGTTGTGCCCTGGTGAAGAATTACCCACACGAGCTCACCTAAGAGATACTGTGCTGTTTGTTGCACACCACCACAACAAAGAGAATATTGACATAAATTGAGTCACATGTGTTTTTGTTGGGTTTTTATGGTTTCCCAGTGCATATAAAAGGCTATGTGGACACCATACTGTAGTCTATTAAGTGTGCAATAGCATTATGAAAAAGTTTGCAGTATTGTGCAAATTACCAAAATGGGACACGGAGGCACAAAGTGAGCACGTGCTGTTGGAAAATGGCTCCAATAGACTTGTTCAACACAGGGTTGACACAAGTCTTCAATTGGTAAAAAACACAGTTATCTATGTAGTGCAAATAAAGCTAAGTATGATGAAATGAGGCATGCCAGTACAAGACTATAATGGCAACAGCAGCTTTAACAGGTGAGAACTGTCAGAGGCAGAGAGCATAAGTGAACCGTGGTGAAATAGCGGTGCTGGTGGTGGTAGGTGCCGGCACGTTGGTTCTCACTCAAAGTGACCCTGTATAAGGTCAGTTTGAACCACAAGGTCAGTGGTTTAAATTCACCAGCCGCTCCTTGGAAACCTTATACAGGGTGGCTATGAGTCAGAACTGACTCGATGGCACTTACCAATAACAACAAATCTTTATAAGAGCAAAAAGCCTCATCTTTCTCCTGTGAAGCAACTGGTGGATTCGAACTGTTTACCCTGCACTGAGCAGCCCAATGTGTAACCCATTACGCCAACAGCGATGGTGAGAAAGGTGACACAGTGTAAAGTATGTGGTCACTGTCAATGAAGAGACAGGTAAAGATTGTTGAGCAGTTGTATGTTTTCACCAAAAAATAATAAGCAAATAAAATTATATACCTATCTATCTGTCAGTCTATCTGTATGTGTATTAGGAAGCTTCAAAAAAAGTTTATGGAAAAATTCCTTTATCTTTTAATTCCGTTTTTTCCTTGCACTTTTTTGAAGCCCCCTTGTATATCTTATGGTATAGAATTTACATCAACTTTTAAGAAAAAAAAGGCACACCATTCTTCAAAAAGATGTTTAAAGGGGGCAGTTTCCATTTCAATACTGAAATCCACTCTTGCTGTGAATTAATATGGGGGTGGTGGTGGCGGGGAATGAACAGCTCAGCGGCGCTACTTCCAAAAGCCAAACCAAGTTAATTCCTCTAGGCCCCATGTTAGAAAATCCTGGATTAGGCCTGGGAACTGACCCACCGTTCCAGATGTCACATCCTGATTGGACCAGAAGACAAGAGTGCTAAATTTGAGTTTCTGAAAAGGAGTGTTGGGGTGTGTGTCGCACACCCTTATCCTGTGCCTGCTTCCTGTGCCCGATAAAAAGCATTGTGACTGTTCTTTCTCCCTCTAGCGATGGAAAACATCTTAACAGTAGGATATATTTTTTTCCCCATAAAAATTAATCTTAGTGTTCATGAAATATTGTTTTGTAGAGAGAAACAAAAGATTACAAAAAACAAAGAGCCGTGGTGCCGTATGCAGCGGTTAAAACACTCCGCTGCTAACCAGAAGATTGGAAGCTTAAACTCCCCAAGGTCTTGGTGGAATAGGGATGTGACCGTCTGTTTCTGACATTTACATTTACAGTCTTGGAAACCTTATGGGGCAATACTACTCTGTCCTTTAGGGTCATCATGATTAGAAACCAACTCGACAACAGTGGGTTTGGATGTACATACAATAAACTATTAAAAATACACCCAGATATACTATTTTCAACATTCAAAAAGAAAATATGATATTTGCATCATCAAAAAAAGGAGAAAATACATGTATGGAATTATGAGTCTCAGTTTCTTTATGATTTTTAAAAGCTTTTCCTTTTTTTTTTAATAAACAAAGTTTTGGAAAGGTAATTCAATTATTACACATAAGTTTGTATAATATTTTTGAATGTGCACTTTAGGTAAATGACTTCTGTTTTACACGGAAGGAGCACATTGATTAAATGTCAAATTTAAAACACACGGCCTTTTAAAAACAAAACGGTTTTTAGTTTATCCCCTCAGTGAAATTAAAACAGAAGCTTACCGTTTTATACTGTGGCGATGGAGGAACGCTCTCGTAGTTTTTCATCTGATAACTTCGACAGGTGATTTCTTTTTTTCCTTGAGTGTAAACTTTAACTTCTATTGGATCATATATTCCACTGGTAACCCCTTCTTGCCTGAAACCAAAACAGCCAAATTTTGGACCTACATGATTTACTCAATTTAGTTTAACTGGTGATGTTGGGGCATAGGATTTAAAAATATGCATGAAGTAGTTGCTCCCTATGTATTTGGGGGGTATAATAGGACATATTTTCAATACTACTATGTCAAAAATAAACTTATCAACTCAATACAATCCCAATCAAAATCCCCAAAGCCTTCTTTACAAAATAAAAGAAAAATCCTCACCTTCATATTGAAAGGCAAGACACCCCAAATAGTTTGTCATACTGTGGTGGCTTATATGTTGCTGTGATGTTAGAAGCTATGCCACCAATATTTTAAATACCAGCAGGGTCACCCATGGTGGACAGGTTTCAATGAACTTCCAGGCTAAGACAGACTAGAAAGGAGAGGCAGACCATTTCTTAACGATTGGGCACTGAAAACCTTAAGTATAGCAGTGGAATGTCGTCTGATATAGTGCCAGAAGATGAAAATATTAGGAACGGGAGAACGTTGTCAGATATAGTGCTGAAGGATGAGTCCTTAAAGTTGGAAGGCATTCAAAATAAAAATGGGAAAGAGCTGCCTCCTTAAAGTAGAATTGCCCTGAAGACATGACTGGTGCAAAGCTTTCAGGACCTTCATTTACTGATGGGAAACAACTCAAAATGAGACGAAACAGCTGTAAACAGAATGCTGCAATTGGAATGTGGAGTATGTGAACTATTAATCTAGAAAGATTGTTGTTGTCAATGTTGCTATTAGGTGTTGTTGAGTTGATTCCGACTCAAAGCAACACCAATCACAACAGAACAAAACACTGCCTGGTCCTTCGCCATCCTCACAATCATTGTTACGCTTGAGCCCGTTGCTGCCGCCATTGTGCCAATCCATATCAGTGGGAGGGGTTTCCTCTTTTTTGCTGACCTTTCATTTTACCAAGCATGATGTCCTCCTCCGCTGACAGGTCCCTCCTGATAATATGTTCAAAGTATGAGAGATGAAGTCTCACCCCTCCTGGCTTCTAAGGAGCATTCCCGCTGTACTTCTTCCAACACACTGGTTCGTTTTTCTGGCAGGCCACAGTACTTTTAATATTCATCTCCAATACTATAACTCAAATGTATCAATTCTTCTACAGTCTTCCTTACTCACTGTCCAACTTTCACATGCATATGAGGTTATTAAGCACACCATGACTTGAGTCAGGCACACCTTAGTCCTCAAGCTGACATCTTTGCTCTTCAACACTTTAAAGAGGCCTTGTGCAGTAGATTTGCCTAATGCAATACACCATTTGATTTCTTGACTGCTGCTTCCATGAGTATTGATAGTGGATCCAAGCAAAATGAAGTCTTTAATCATTTCTCCAATTATCATGGTGTTATTTATTGTGGTGAGGATTTTTGTTTTCTTTATATTGAGGTGCAACCCATATCAACAGCTGTGGTCTTTGATCTTTGTCAGTAAATATTTTAAGTCTTGGCTTCAGCAAGCAAGTTTGTATCATCTGCATATCAAAAGTTGTTAATGAGTCTTCCTCCAATCCTGATGCCATGTTTTTCTTTATATAATCCAGCTTCTGATTATTTGCTCGGCATACCGATTGAATATGTATGGTGAGAGAATACAAGCCTGGCACACACCTTTCCTGATTTTAAACCATTCGGTGTCCTCTTGATCTATATACAGGTAACTCATAAGCACAATGAAGTGTTCCAGAATACCCATTCTTTGCAATGTTATCCACAGATTGTTATGATCCACGCAGTCAAATGCCTTTTCCTAGTCAATAAAGCACAGGTAAGCATCTTTCTGGTATTCTCTACTTTCAGCCAAGATCCATCTAATGTCAGCAAAGATATCCTTTGTTCCACTTCCGACTTAAACTTCCGGCAGTTCCCTGTCAATGTACTGTTGCAGCCATTTCTGAATTAATCTTAAGCAAAATTTTACTTGCATGTGATATTAACAGAAGTCAAAAAGATCAATATCCTAGGCATTAGTGGGCTGAAAAGGACTGGAATTAGTCATTTTAATTCTGACAATCATGTGGTTTACTATGCTGGGAACTACAAATTGAAGAGGAATAGCATCACATTCATCGTTAAAAATGGCATTTCAAGCTCTATCTTGAAGTACAACACTGTCTGCAACAGGATAATATCCATATGCCTACAAGGAAAACCAGTTAAAAATTCTATTATTCAAATTTATGAACCAACCAGCACAACTAATGATGACTATATTGAAGAATTTTACTAAATTATTCAGTCTGAAGTTGATTAAACATGTAATCAAGATGCACTGATAATTACTGCTGATTAGAATGCAAAGGTTGGAAACAAAAAGGATCAGCAGTTGGAAAATATACCCTTGGTGATAGAAATGATGCTGGAAATCGTATGATAGACCGCACCAGAGGGAATGCACAGGGACCAAACTGATTACATCTGTGGGAAGAAACCATGGAGAAGCTCAATGTCATCAGCCAAAACAAGGCCAAGGGCCAACTGTTGGACAGACCCATCAACTGCTCATATGAGAGTTCAGGCTGAAGCTGAAGAAAATTAAAACAAGTTCACAAGAGCCAAAATATGGCCTTTAGCATCTCCTACCCTACAGGGTCGCTGTGAGTCAGAACTGACTCCACAGCATATTACCACCACCACCTTTTAACTATTTGGGATCAAGATGATAACAGAAACTCAAAAGATTATACTGGAACTTTAGGGGGCACTGAGTTGATGCTAAAGGAGGAACAACTCAGAAATGGAGGGTGAGAATGGTCACAGAGCTCTAAGATTGTGATCAGTGTCATTAGATTTTATATGTCGAGACTACTGAATGTTTTCCTGTGCATATTCGCACAACAACAAAAATGTATTTTAAGTAAACTTATCATTTCAATTAGCAATCATGAAACTTAGTATTACTTGGAAATTACTTGGTATACTGACAAATCTATATTTATCCTGCCTGACAACATGCTTTAGTGCAGTTATTTCTATTTTTTTACCCTTTCATCATTGCTCTCTATACTACAAAAAATGGTCTGATAGCAAACAGATACTTTGGTACCTTGAATTTACTTCATATGGCTTCTCTATCCAAAGTTGCCTTAATTGCCACAAAATGATTAGATGGTACCATGCAAACAGGGTGTACAAGACTTTAAGGCTGGGACTGGTTAATTTTATCATCCTGCTAGGTTTAAAAGGAGAGAACACAGAAGCAGGAACAGATGATGCCAGGACCATCTAGAAAGAAGAGCAGGAACGCAGCATGAGAGCCCTACTTGGAAAAGGGGCCACAGCAGAGGCAGTGGAGGGAAGCTGGTGTGAGAGACAGAGCAGCTTCAGCTTCTAGGCCCATGAACCAAGTAAACCTGAGTGCCTACGGGAAGGAGGCTGGGTTGCAGAATGTACCCTTTGGGCATTCATGGACTTGCTAAAAGAGTTTCATAATACTTGCTTGAGTAGGGCAGAGGCCAATGAGCCACTTGGCTGAGAGGCTGAAGCAAGGGTCAAGTGTGCTTACAGCACGACAGAGAAGAGGCGTTCCTAGCTGGAGAACTGTTGCATCCTGGGTTGTTTCTGATTCTAAAATGCACCAAGTTCACTTCCCTAAGAAACTCCACAGTCATGAGTATTGTTGCGTTCTGAGTTCTATGTGGCCATTGCAATGGACTGTCGAATCCAGCTATGAAGCAGAGAGTGCTGTGGGAGGAATGATAGGTGTCAGAATAGGGTAAAGAAGATTGGAGGGTAAGGTACATCTGACTTCCACTTCATAGGAATCTGCCTTGGGCTGGTTTAGAGTTTGATTCTCCTTCCCCCTTCAGAGGAAGTATGATGTGGCCCCCACATGGTTTTTGCAGATATCCATGCAGAGAAAAGAAGAGAAGGTGGCTCTCTCTTATTGGAGGTGAGGGAGTATATCAAGGAGGCTCCAGGATCTCTTCTTCTCAAGTACTACTCCTTCTGGGTAACTTTCTTTCTATTAGATACTGGGCCACACAACACCTAGAGTTCTAGTTATAAAAAGTATCAAAGCATTTCTCTATTGTTATTGTCGCTTTAATGATCATTACCTAGTTATTGATCTAACTATACCATCTGAAAGAATTCTTTTGGAAAAAGTGGGTCTACTAAAATTGGAACAACTACTCTTGGAATCAATAAACACTATGTAACAGTTAACAAAAATCTTCATGCTTTTTTATAATATAAAACTACAAAAAGAGATGTTTATAAAAGACAAGTAAATAGAATGGAAAACAAGGACTGCCGTTGTTTACATGAGAAATTGCAAATCTTCTATCAATTCTCAACCAGAATGGGTGACCCTTCCAGATCTCTCTTTTCCAGCAAAATGACACGAATGTGTTTTTTACGTTGACTCTAAAGTTTAAAGAATATGTCTACAGCGTACTGTTTTGAAAACCAATACATGTATCCTTGCATGTAATCTACTTTCTGAATTAGAAATTATTTAACTTATAATTAGAAGTTACCTACTTATCCAGAGAACTTAAATTGCTTTTGTCCAATTTCCATATTACTCCCCACACTTCATCTCCAGGACTTTGCAAAATGGTAGCTATACCTCCATGCCAAGTAGGACTTTCTTTGCCTTGGGGATTGCCAAAGTCAAGCTTAAAATCCTAGAAAAGAAAATCAAAGTGATATGATCAATATCCATTCAAACCCTAGTTTCCCTCTCCAAAATAAAAACATAAAAATTAACCTTGAACTCCATGCATTAAAACATTCAATCCAGTTTGAGCATAAGAAGCTTAGAAATACAAAATAAACGGACAAGAACCCAGATCTCAAAGACCATATTTAAAAAAAAAAAAAAAAAGAAATGTATCATGAACATGTATCTAAACACACACAAAATATTTAATGGGAAAAAGACAAAATAACCCTAATGCCTTTACAATTGTCATCATATTTGCAAAGTGTCTTTCAGTCTGCTCTCAATTCACGTGTACACTCACAGGCAACTGCAGTGTATACCACTGTTGATGTATACCATGTTGGGTAATGGCTACATGGGGGTTAGTATACTGTTCTGTCTACTTTTTAGAGTATCCATGGGTTAATGCGCTGGACCACAAGGTCAGCGGTTCAAACTTACCAGCTGCTCCTTGGAAACCCTATACAGGATCACTATGAGTTGGAATCAACTCGACGGCACTTAACAACACAACCAGCATATGGAGTCCTGGTGTGCTGCTTCAGGATAAGTACTGGACTGCTAACCCCAAGGGCAGCAGTTCAAACCTACCAGCCACTCCTTGGAAACCCCTTGCTAAGAGTTGAAACCAACTCGTTAACACTTAACAACAACAACACCAACATATACCACCAAATTTGTCAGAGGGCAACTAGTATTTGAGGGTGAGTCATTATTTATGAACGTTCATCTAGTATTCATGATACTCTATTTTATTCTAGTATTTCTAGAATAGTCTATTGTAGTTATTTCTAGAATAGTTCTTACTGAAAAATCACTGGGTGCTATGTACTGTTCTATAACTGTTACAGAGATTATCTTATATAACAAAATTTTTTTGATGTGGTGAAAAAATATATATAACAAAACATTTGCCACTTCAACAATTTTTGCATGTATGATTCAGTGACATCGATAATGGTCACCACATTGTGCAACCATCACCATTTTATCCTGCCAACAACTTTAGTCTATTATACCCATTTTACAGACAGAAAAACTGTGGCTCAGACAGATGAAGCAACCTGCCTAAGGTTCACAACTAATTAATAGCGAAGCCATATTTTTAGTTAGCTTTTTTCCTCATGGAGGTATGTCATCAAGGGACAGACTCCAGAGAAGATAAAAATCCTTACTTATTTGTTCTTGGAAGATTCCATTCTATCTTTCCAGAGCTGTTTCCTTAGTAATAATCAAACTTACAAGGTTAAACTAGACAATAACTCTAAGGTCCCTTCCAAATTTGTTTTATCCCTGTCACTACTATTACGTCAAAATCTTGGCAGACATACCAGAAAAAAAGGTTGGCTTAAGTGACCAGCACCTTCAATTGAAATAATGGATGTTTTTTCTAGGAGCAAGTACACGCAGCAGGCCATCAGCAGATCTTATCATAGTGACAACCCACACTAGGGACTGATATCTACTGCCACAATCCAATAGGAAATTTCCATTTCCCATCTTCCTCTACTTCTCAGCAGCTTCTAACATACTTAACCAGTGTATCAGAACAAGTCTGACTCTTGGTTTCCTCAATTCCCATCACCAGTCCTTCCACTACCTGGTCTTTACATGTTGGAGTTTCTCAGGGTTCAGGCCAGACAATCAGCAATTAACCCAAGACAACCCCATCTTCTCCACTGACTTTAAACACCATCTGATAGTCTAATCATCTTTGAATCCAGATTAGATATCTCTTTTGAGCTTCAAGAGTGCTTAGAATGGGGCCTAATGCATATTGTCATAGATTGAATTGTGTCCCCCCAAAATATGGGTCAACTTAGCTAGACCATGATTCTCAGTGGTTTTGCAGTTATGTAATAATGTAATCACACATACATGATGTGATATGATGCCATCAGCCCTGATGATTACTCTCTCTCTTATAAATCCTCACTTTTCTGATGTTACTGGGGCTGGATACAATCTGCAAGATAAAATTGTATCTTGAGTCAGTCTCCTTTGTGACACAGAAGAGATTAAACAAGCAAGCAAAGCTCATAGGGACCTACTACTACTAGAAAGGGGAGCTGAGCATGGAGTGCATCATTTGGAATTGGGATCCCGGCACTGTGAGGCTCCTAGATCCAGTGAGTGATTGATACCAAGAAACACGAAGAGCACAAAGAATGCTGGGCCTACAGATGCTGAAAGGGCAAAAAGGACATTTCTTTTGAGCCAACTAAGAGAGAAAGCCTTCCCCTAAAGGCAGCACTCTGAATTTGAACATCTAATTTACTAAACTGTGAGAGAATCAATTTCTGTTGAAGGTATCCACTTGTGGTATTTCTGTTAGAACATCACTAGATTAAGACAATGTTGTTGGTAAGTGCTGTTAAATTGGCTCTGACTCATAACAACCCTCTGCACAACAGAATGTAGCACTGTCCCAGTCCTGCGCCAGCCTCACAATCATTGTTATGTTTGAGCCCACCATTGCTGCCACTGTGTTAATCCAACTTGTTCAGGGTCTTCCTCTTTTACGCTGACTCTCCACTTTATGAAACATGATGTCCTTCTCCAGGGACTGGTCTTCCCAGGCAACATGACTAAAGTATGACAGATGAAGGTTTGTGATCCTGGCTTCAAAGAAACATTCTGGCTATACTTTTTCTAAGACAAGTTTGTTTGTTATTCTGGCAATCCATGGTATTTTCAATATTCTTTGCCCAATCATAATTCAAATGCAGCAGTTCTTCTACTCTCTTCCTTATTTACTGCCCAACTTTCACAGGAATATGAAGAAATAAAAATACCATGACTTGGGTCAGGTCCACCTTAGTCCTCAAACTAACATCTTTGCTCCTTAACACTTTAAAGAGGCCCTTTGCAGCAGATCTGGCTAATGCAATGCATTATTTGATTTTATGACCGCTGTTCCAGGAACATTGACTATGGAGCCAAGAACAATAAAGACTTTAACAACTTCAATCTTTCTTTCATTTATCATGATGTCATTGGTCCAGTTATGAGGATTTTCATTTTCTATACATTGACGTGCAATCCATACTGAAGGCTAGAGTCTTTGATCTTCATCAGTTAGTACTTCAAGCATTTAGTATGTCATCTGCATATTGCAGGTTGTTAGAGTTTTCCTCCAACCATGCCATGTTCTTCTTCATATTATTCAGTTTCTCAGATTATCTGTTCATCATATAGACTGAATAAGTTTGGTGGAAGGATGATACAACCTTAGCGCACACCTTCCCTGTTTCGAAGTCATTCCGTATCTGCTTGTTTTAACCACTGCCTCTTAGTCTATGTACAGGTTCTTCATGAGCACAATGAAGTGTTCTGGAATTCCCATTGTTTGCAATGTTATCCATAGTTTGTTATGAGCCACACAGTTGAATGTCTTTGCATAATCAATAAAGCATAAATAAACATTTTTTCGTATTCTCTGCTTTCAGCCAAGATCCACCTGACGTAAGTAATGATATCCCTCATTCCACATCTTCTTCTGAATCTAGCTTGAACTTCTGGCAGCTCCCTGTTGACGTCCTGCTATAACCATTTTTGAATAATCTTCAAAAAAATTTTACTTGCATGTGATATTAATGATATTGTTTGATGATTCCCACATTTCTGCTAGGTCACCTTATTTTGGAATGGGCACAAATATGGATCTCTTCCAGTCAATTGGCCAGGTAGCTGTTTTCTAAATTTCATGGTATATGGTATAGATGAATGAGAGCCACCAGTGCTTCATCAGTTTGCTGAAACATTTCAATTTGTATTCTGCCAATTCCTGGAGCTATGGTGTTGTTGTTTTTTTGCCAATGCCATCAGTGCAGCTTGAACTTCTTCCTTCAGTACCACGTGTTCGATCAGATGGTATTTCTTGAAGTGGTTGAACACAGACCAGTTCCTTTTGGTACAGACATTTTCTTTTGATGCTTTCTGCATCATTCAGTATTTTGTTCACAGAATCCTTCAACATTGCAAGCTGAGGCTTGAATTTTTTCTTCAATTCTTTCAGCTTGAAAAATGCTGATAAGTACTCCACTTGACTAATAAGCATCTCAAACTCAATCTTTCAAACCAAACTTGTAATTTTCCCTCCCAAACCTGTTTCTCCTCTTCTCTCAGGAAACATGACCGCCATCCATCATGTCACAACAGAAGCCTTGGCATCACTGGCATCTTGACATCTTCTCCTCCCACCCTTAATCACTGTGAGTTGGAATCGGCTCTGGAGTGGCGAGTTTGGTTTCTTTTTCTCCCTCAACCACCAAGCTGTAATGATGTTATCTCCTAAATATCTCTCAAGCCCATCTATCCTCCCCTGACAACACCAGAATTTAGATGTTATTATCGAGGGTGTAGACAACTCCAGCAACTTCCTAACTGGGCTACCCACATCTACCGATTCATACTCTATAGCAACCAGAATGTGTTTTCAAAGAGGTTAAATCAAATACTTTATTTGCTTAAATCCTGCAATGGGTCTATAGGTAAAATCCAAAGTCTCCCTTGGCCTCTGAGGTCCTGTAAGATCTGGTTTTCCCCTACCTTTCCAATCCTCATGCCATGCTCCACTCACTAAACCGCAGCCAGGGTGGTTAGATTCCTTCCTCAGGTCCTTTGCACATGCTGTTCCCTTTGTTTTGGTCCCCCCCAATTTCCTGAGCATCTCAGCCATGAACATACGACCAAGACTTAGACAATGAAGCTAGTAACAAAAGGACAAATTTCGGGAGTGACATTGTTGGATCAGAACTGGACTTCGAACCACGAGGTCAGCAGTTTCAAACCTATCAGCTGCTCCTCAGAAACACTATACAGGGTCGGTATGAGTCAGAAGCGACTCCACGGCATGTAACAACAACAAAAGGACAATAGGGACTCCTCCCTGGTGGTGGTAGCCACATTTGGGTTTGGGGGATGCAGAGGGGTGTAGTGCTATTACATGTGGGCTCCAGTGCAGGCCACACTGGTATTGACAGTGCCGTATCTGAGCGTACAGTGACGTAGTACTGGCGACCTGGGCTGCTTCCCATGCCCCCTTTATGTCTGCACGTTTTGTCAGCTCTGTGTCCCTGCCTTCTAGGTCATTCTGTGAACTCTCCGACAGCCTTTCAGTACATTCTTTTTCTGCTTAATTCACCAGTTTCTGCTGCTTGTTACTAAGTACATTGATGAGTAGAGCAAAGACCCTATTTGTCTAGTTCAACACTGTCCCAAGATTTGCACGTCATCTGTTTGTATGTCTCTCCCACAGAGTGGAAGATCCTCAGAGTAGCAACTTTAGTCAATCATCTTTGGATCTCCAGGCAAGCATTGAATGAATTCATAGAATATACTGAAGAGCAATGATTTATCAAGGATGGTTACTGTCCACCCAGTCACCTGACTTAGCTGAGCATAGTGCTTGGTCACCACGAATAAGATTTGGTTCCAGCTTTCAGGACCTGCCAGATCAGGTGCAAAAGAGAGCTAAGCTGATTTTCACAAGTGACAAGAGGTGAGAAGGTGAGACAGAAGCTGCTGAGAGGTAGAGTGTAACCAGAAATGAAAACTGTCTATTGGATTGAGTGATCGACAACCAGTCCTAGTGTGGGTTGTAACCTGGGTAACAGGTAGACACATCTGTACACAAGAGTGCAGAATACAGAACAGAAAACAATTAACTCCCCTAAATTGGGACAGAGAAACTTTGTTATTGAAACCAACTGAATGGATTTTATGGGGATGGCCAGAAACTAGTGAACAAGTGAGATCACATCTATGGATAATGTCATTATGCACAGAAAGTGTAAATGTTAGACGAGGGAAGATTCTAGGAGTACAGTTGTGGTGTGGTGCGTTAATGTGCCAGACTGCAAAGTCATTTGAATTACAAGGTCGGCGGTTCAAGCTCACCAGTAGCTCCTCAGAAACCTTATACAGGGTTGCTATGGGTTGGAACTGACTTGACACTTGACGGCACTTAACAACAACAAGGTAGTAAGAGGAAGAGGAGATAAATTTGTCCATGAAAACCCTGATGCACTCTTATCAGGAATTAGTAAAAGATTAGATAGGAAACTCAGGGAACAGTGAGTTTCTGTTCATGAAGGAGATTTGTTGTTGTTGTTGTTATGTGCCGTGGAGTCGGTTCCGACTCATAGCAACCCTGTACAGGGTTTCCGAGACTGTAAATCTTTACGGGAGCAGACAGCGTCATCTTCCTCCTGCGCAACAGCTGATAGTTTCAAACTGCTGACCTTAGGGTTCGCAGCCCGATTGGTAACCACTATGCTACCAGAGCTCCTTATGGAGGAGATACAATATGGAAAAAGAGGGTGAGAAAGGTCACACAACTTGAAAAACATACCCAGTGTAACTGAATGATAGAAAAATGTAGTAACTGTTGAATTGGTGAATGTGTTGCTGTCTATAATCTCACTGACAAAAAGTAAAAATACATTTTAAAAAGAAGACCAAGACGAACTGGATTCCTGGCCTAGTTCTGCCAATTCACTTTGGGAAAGTGAATTTTGACTCACTGGTTTGTAAACAACGCAATAAGTTGGTGTTGTGGTTTAGGTATTAGACTACTAACTTCAAGATCGGTGATTCAAACGCAACAGCCACCCATAGCTTCCAGGGAGAAAAATGAGGCATTCTGCTCTGGCTAAAGTTTACAATCTAGGAAACGCTATATAGGGTCATTATGAGTCGTAATCAACTTCATGGCAGTGGGTCGGATGTGTAAACAGGAACCCTAGTGGAGCAGTAGTTAAGCACTCTGCTAATGGAAAGGTTAGTGCTTACAATTTACGTAGTGATCCTACTGCAGAAAGACCTGGTGATCCTAAAGATTTACAGCCTTGGAACTCCTGTCCTATATAGCCATTATGAGTCGGAATCTACTTGATAGCAGCGGACTTAATGTTTATTTTATTTGGGAAGAAGGAGGGAGTTGGTAAGTGGGGTACGGCCTGGAAGAGGGTGGGGGAGCACTGACCTGCAGGCGGCCCACGCAGCAGAACGCAGCCGAGGGGTTCAGGAGGTGGATCCTCTCGGTTAGCAAGTTGCTACCATAGGCAAAGTATAGAAAACTGTCTTCATCATGGCTCCCACAGCCTCCACAGTCCGAGTCCGCCATGTCCCACCACACGCCTGCAGGAACCTAAGATTCCAAAGCAGAAGAGGAGCAGATAGCGGTGATCACTGACCCTGAGGCAGAGCCAGCAGTCACTACCCAGCCCCAAGAAAAGCTGGAAGCATGGGTGGGGCAAATTGGAGTGAGTGATCACCTTATTGGCTGGCAGTCTTTGTTGCAACCCTTGATTGGTCAAATCCTCCCCGCCCTCTACTTGGATTTTGAAATCCATTTCCCGAAACAACCTGTGTGGCTCCTCATTGGACATCCTCCTCTAGTCTACCGCTTCTCCTTGCTCACAGCTCCCTCTGATTGGCGAGTGGGCGGGCACTAAGGAGGCGGGGCTGGAGAGCACCTTTGCCCCGACTGGTTTGTACAGGTTAGTGGGTTCCTCCAGAGTGCAGCAGAGCGATTCCCCGAACCTAATTTTCTCTGCTTTGCCTTGGGGGATCTCTGTCGAATCTAAGAACCTTCCATAGTTACTTCCTCGGCCCCGCATTTTGCCTCCTTCCTGCCCTTCCCTCCAAACAAAGGAGCACGTCTGGACGACTCTGTTCACCCCACTAACCTCAGCCCTGTTCATCTCTCACTTTTCTAAGGACCCTCTGCTTCCTGGAGAAGCTCCCCTGAATGCCTTCTCTAATGGAATGTAGCGTTCCAGGTTTCAAATTCTGACTGCTATTTATTGACTGTGCAACCTCCCGTCTCCGTTTCCTCCTTTTAAAATGGGACTCATGACGTAATGATCACAGATATCTGCCTCAGAGGGTTGGTGTGAGGATTAAAAGAGTAATTTTATTGATGTGGTTGTTTTCCGCTGTCTAGGAGTCCTGGTGTGGCGCTGTGGATTACTGAGCCACACTGCAAAGTCGGTTTGAACCACAAGGTCTGCTGTTCAAGCTTACCAGCCGCTTCTTGGCACTTAAAAAGTTGGTTCCTACTCATAGCGACCTTGTATAGGGTTTCTGAGGAGCTGGTGGGTTTGTATCTTCAACCTTTCCATTAGCAGTCTAGTGCTTACCTTACATCACCACACCAGGAGACTTTCCTTATCAATATTCTTGTTAAATGCCTTCGAGTCAGTTCCAACTCATAGTGAACCTATATAGGGTTTCCAAGAGCGGCTGGTGAGTTTGAACCACCAACCTTGCAGTTATCAGTCTGGTGCTGATCCTACAGTTACACACCAGTTAATTGTTGTTGTTAAGTGCTGTCGAGTCTGTTCCGACTCCACACACCAGCTACTACATGCAAAAACTATTGTAAGAAATCCAAGTACAAAAACAAAATTAAGGAGTCGGTTCCTAGTTTTAGAGACTCTATAAAACAGAGTACAAGTGTCCCAGTGTCCCATAGGATTTCCATTCACAGGAGCAGATTGTCACATCTTTCTCCTGCAGCAAGCTGGCCTTTCAGTTCCCAGTGGAGTGCTCTAACCACTATGCATATAGGGCTCTTTATAAAATTAAGTAATAACCCTATATTGCTAACTTTGAATAGAAAATATGATTATGAACTCAAGACCTAGAAACAGTGACTATCCTTGGCACCCAGGTTTTCACATTGTGGGAAATACAACAGATGTCAGAGAGCATTTTATACACAGGCTTAGCAAATGGGAAGCCAAATTTTCTCTGTAAACATTCACCTAAAGCACAATAGGACTTTATGTTAAAAAAAAGAAAGAAGAGAAACATTTACCTTGCCTTTTTTAGTACCAAAAGACTGCCCCTCGCAAAAAAAAAAAAACAAAAAAACCAGAACCCCACTGTTGTCGAGTTGGTTCGGAGTCATCATAACTCTATAGGACAGAGCAGAGCTGCCCACAGGGTTTGGAAGGCTGTCCTGGTGTTGGCGCTGTGGGTTAATGTGCCACACTGCAAAGCCATTTGAACTGCAAGGTCGGCGATTCTAGTTCACCAGCTGCTCCTTGGAAACCCTATACAGGGTCGCTATGGGTCGGAACTTGATGGCACTTCACAACAACAACAATCTTTGGAAACACACTGCATCATCTTTCTTTCATTAAGCAACTGGTAGTGTAGCTGGTCAAAACTCCAAGCTTTTGGTTAGCAGCTGAGCACTTAACCACTGCATCACCGGAGCTCCTAAGGATTAAAGCCTAGGAAACCCTAAGGGGCATTTGTACTGTGTAGCTTGGGTCACTATGAGTTGAAATGGACTTGCTGGTACCTAACAACAGCAAATGAAATAACCAGCTGTTCCTGAGTAGTTTGTTTTAATGAAATCACTGATTCATGCCAGCTCATCCTAAAACCACTGGGGAAAAGGATGTTAGGAAAGAGCATATTCCCATGGTGCCAAATTATCCCCCCACAGATGACTTGCTGGTTACAAAGAGGAAAACATAATTTGGTAATGGAGAAATCTGGCCCTTCCCATGCTAACCCAGATCAATCTTATCATCACTATAAGTGGACCAACCTGATTTCACCAGCATCCTCTTTGAAGTACTATTTCCAAAAACTCTGTAACCACATCATAGTCAAGTCTCTGAATCTGTCTTCATGGTTTAGGAATTACATGAACAGAAGAGTAAAATGACACCACAAAGAAAGTAAGAAGAAATTCCAGACGGTAGGCTATCCTATAGAACAAATGACCCAGTTTTCTAAACAAATCACTGTCATTGTATATACATTGTTGTTGATGTTAGGTGCCATTGAGTCAATACTGACCCATAGCAACCTTACGCACAGCAGAATGAAACACTGCCCGAACCTGAGCCAACTTCACTATTGTTGCCACACTTGAGCCCACTGATGCTGCCACTTTGCCAATCCATCTCACTGGGGGTCTTCCTCTTTTTCTCTGACCCTCCACGTTACCAAACATGGTATCCTTCTCCAGTGACTGGTCCCTCCTAACAATATGTCTGAAGTATGAGAGACGAAGTTTGGCCATCCTGGCCTCCAAGGAGCACTCTGGCTGCACTTCTTCCAACACAGATCTGTTAGTTCTTTTGGCAGCCCATGGCACTTTCAATATTCTCCTCCAACACCATAACTCAAAAGCATCAATTCTTCTATGGTCTTCCTTATTCACTGTCCAGTTTTCGCATGCATATGAGAACACTTTCAATATTCTCCTCCAACACCATAACTCAAAAGCATCAATTCTTCTATGGTCTTCCTTATTCACTGTCCAGTTTTCGCATGCATATGAGAACACTTTCAATATTCTCCTCCAACACCATAACTCAAAAGCATCAATTCTTCTATGGTCTTCCTTATTCACTGTCCAGCTTTCACATGCATATGAGAATTGAAAATACCATGGCTTGGGTCAGGCACACCTTAGACTTCAAGCTGACATCTTTGCTCTTCACCACTTTAAAAAGGTCTTGTGCAGCAGATTTGCCTAATGCAATATGTCATTTGATTTCTTTACTGCTGCTTCCATGAGTGTTGATAGTTGATCCAAGAAGACTGAAGTCCTTGACAACTTCAATCTTTTCTCCATTGATAAGAATGTTGTTTATTGGTCCAGTGGTGAGGATTTTTGTTTTCTTTACATTGTGATATATATATGGTGGTGGTGGTAATGTGCTGTGGAGTCGGTTCTGGCTCATAGCGACCCTGTACAGGGGTAGGAAAATGTGCCCTTTTTTAGACATGCATACTAACATATTTAAGGGTGAAATGTTTGAAATCTATATTTTAAAATTTTTTCAAAAAATAAAAATATGGAAAATGTTAATCTGGGTAATGTGTATATGGATGCTGACTATATTATCCTATGCATCCTGTTTTGTATGTTTGAATAGTTTCATATTAAAAAGTAAAAAGGAAAAGAGATAATATATGTAAAGCAGTTGATTTAGAGTAAGCACTCAGTAAGCAATAGCATTATTATTACATAATCTGTAAATAGGAAGGTTCAAACCTCTTGTCACTATTAAGGTAGAATACAAAATGCATTGTTGTTGTTGTTGTTATGTGCCGTTGAGTCGGTTCCGACCCATAGCGACCCTGAACAGGGTTTGTGAGGCTGTAAATCTTTACGGGAGCAGAAAGCCTCCTCTTTCTCCCACGGAGCAGCTGGTAGTTTCGAACTGCTGACCTTGTGGTTCGCAGCCCGATTTGTAACCACTACACTACCAGAGCTCCTTACAAATTGCATACTAACTCATTTAAGTAAGCAAATTGCAAGATTATGCTCTAATGCAATATGAATTTTAAAGGTTTTTGCTTTAGATTGTTGCCATTTAAAATGTTCTTCTGTGTTTCAAATGGTTTTATCCACTGGCATTGAATCAATTCCAACTCATAGCAACCCTATATAAGGTTTCTAAGACTATAAATCTTTATGGGAGAAGACAGTCTTTCTCCCACGGAGCTGCTGGTGGGTTTGAACTGCCAACCTTGCAGTTAGCAGTCCAATGCCTTACCCACAGCACCACCAGGGCTCCTTTTAAATTGTTTTAAACATTTTAAATGTGTTTATTATTTAGTTAATTTGTTTAAGGTATATTATTTCTTTTCTTTTCATTTTGTTATTGTTAAGTGCCTACAAGTCAGTTTCGACTCATAGCAACTCTGTATAGGGTTTCTGAGGAGTGACTGGTGAGTTTGAACTGCCAACCTTGCAGTTCAAACTGACCTTGAAGTCCAACGGATTAGCTCACAGCACTACACCAGGACTCCTCTCTTCATATTGTTGTGATAATGCCATCGAGTTGGTTCTGACTTCTAGCAACCCTGTATAGGGTTTCTGAGGAGCGGCTAGTGAGTTTGAACCACTGATCTTGCAGTTTAATCCAACCTTGAGATTGTGTGCTTATCCTACCTTGCACCACACCAGGACTCCACGTACTTCTCTGCTTATACTTCTCATCAATTGCTTAATTTCATGCTGGTTGATTTTTTTTCAACACTATTTTGTAATTATTTGCTGTAGTTAAGGGCATTGAAGTTTCTTCAAACACTAAAAACCTTTCGTTACTATAATTAAATATTTATTTACCTTCCTCAAATAAATAT